AGATTATTATAAGAAGATAACATCCACATCTCATATAATTATAACTTGTTATTCCTTGCATTGACAACTTTTAGATGTTAAAGAAAAGTAGAGATTACAGTTATTGTCAAATTCTCTAAAGAAAAGATGAGTCAAACATAGTTTAGAGACACTTGTTTTGACCTGAAATCATGAAAATGCTTTCCCCATATCCCAGTGACTGTGAAGTACTGACCACACTCACCCCTGACACCGGCCGCATCCTGTCCAAGCTTCATACTGTCCAGCCCAAGGGCAAGATCACCTTCTGCACTGGCATCCGAGTGGCCCACTTGGCTTTGAAGCACCGGCAGGGCAAGAATCACAAGATGCGCATCATTGCCTTTGTGGGGAGCCCCGTGGAGGACAACGAGAAGGATCTGGTGAAACTGGCAAAAAGCCTCAAGAAGGAGAAAGTAAATGTTGACATTATCAATTTTGGGGAAGAGGAAGTGAACACGGAAAAGCTGACAGCCTTTGTGAACACCTTGAATGGCAAAGATGGAACTGGATCTCATCTGGTGACAGTGCCTCCTGGGCCCAGCCTCGCCGATGCCCTCATCAGTTCTCCGATTCTGGCTGGTGAAGGCGGTGCCATGCTGGGTCTTGGTGCCAGTGACTTTGAATTTGGAGTGGATCCCAGTGCTGATCCTGAGCTGGCCCTGGCCCTTCACGTTTCTATGGAAGTGCAGCGGCAGCGGCAGGAGGAGGAGGCCCGTCGGGCAGCTGCAGCCTCCGCGGCTGAGGCAGGGATTGCTCCAACTGGGACCGAAGGTGAAAGAGACTCAGACGACGCCCTGCTGAAAATGACCATCGGCCAGCAGGAGTTCAGCCGCACCGGGCTCCCTGACCTAAGCAGCATGACCGAGGAAGAGCAGATCGCTTATGCCATGCAGATGTCCCTGCAGGGCGCAGAGTTTGGCCAGGCAGAATCATCTGATATTGATGCCAGTTCAGCCATGGACACCTCTGAGCCCACCAAGAAGGAGGATGATTACGACATGATGCAGGACCCCGAGTTCCTGCAGAGCGTCCTGGAGAACCTTCCAGGTGTGGACCCCAACAATGAGGCCATTCGAAACGCCATGGGCTCCCTGGCCTCCCAGGCCACCAAGGATGGCAAGAAGGAAAAGAAGGAGGAGGACAAGAAATGAGACTGGAGGGAAGGGTCGCTGAGTTTACCCGGGGGCTGCACTGGGTGGGTGGGACATAGGGCTAGATGTTAACCAATACAACTAAATAAAGCTTGGCAACTTTTTTTTTTCTTCAAAAAAGAAAAGAAAAGAAAATCACTGACAGCATTTCAAAATCCATGAGCATACCTTGATTTCTACATGCCATTCTCCACTACGAGAAACTAAGTTTCCTGAGAGAAATGGTTAATTCAAGGGCTGGGACAGAGAAATCACATGATGAGCCAGAGCATCTTGTTCCAGACAGTTAGGAAGTGCTTAAAGAGTGGAGAGAGTGTATCAAACACAGAAGCTAGCTTGAAAGGACTCCCAGGGCCATTACGCCTGCATTTAAAATCAGAGTTATGGAAGCAGTGCTGTATTGTGGGAGACTGGCTATACTTATCTTCAGGGCAGTCAGATAGTGAACCAGACTTTGGAGTCAGAGATACTTGGGTTCCCGCACTAGCTCTACCGCTTACTAGAAGTGCCATTTTGGATGGCTTCCCTGAGTTTCCATTTCTTTAGCTCTAATGTCAGGAAAATACCTACTTTGCAATATTATGTTAAGGTTTAAATGAAAAAGAGAAAACAACCTATACAGAGCTGGGCACATATGAGGTATTTCATAAGCAGTGAATGTGTTTATTGTTTCCTCAAGCAAATGGGCAGGTTGGAAAGGTGTAGCAACTTTACAGCTCTAATTACATTTCAAAGAAAACAGATGCACTGGGGAGAGGGGACTAAAAGAGATGCACTAAAACACTAAACAAAGGCTGTATTCAAATTACGGATAACTTTTCCCTTCCTGTGTTTTCAAATATAATTCACATAGTCTGGTATTTCAAGAATAGCAAAGCATATATCATTTTTTAAGGGCAAGTTTTGAGCAAAACCTTCCAAAGATCAGAAAATTATTTATTGGTCGTTAAAATGTCCAAAATGTTACCTGCCTACCTGCCAGCCTTCCTCCCTGCATAATTCAGTCCCAAATATATGATAGGGCCAAGGAAAGTAGGCACCCAAGTCCGGGCACAGTGTGCAGTAGGGTGACTTGTCCATCACAGAAGAGGACATCTGAGCTGGGGCAGTGGCTACAGGGGAGGTTGGTTTTACACACAGAAATGATGGAAGGGGAACTAGAATGAACTGTGTGGTATGGAATTGGTATGGAAGGTAAGTGTGAACTCACGGTCTTCAAGATAGGCAGACAGAGAGATAAAATACGCATGTTTAAATTATGTGTGTATAGATTACACATATACATATACACATGTATGTATATCCCCTCTTTCCACATCCATATAGATTAGATGTCTTAGATTCTAGAAAATTTCATGTTTACTCAATAAATATATTATATATTTCCACTAAAAGCTCATTTTCTTCGTGTTGTCCTCCACCTGAGCAGGTTTTAGAATCACTGGTCTAGAATCTTAAAGCTTAAAGGCAACGTTCTGTTCCTGGCTTACCAGTCGGAAAAATTCACTGACATTTCGAAAGCTATGAACATACCTAGTGCTGAGATCTTGGTTTCTAAATACCATTCTCCACTAAAAGGAACTAAGTTGCCTTGGAGAAATGACTAATTCCATGGCAGGGGCAGAGAAATCACAAGATGAGTGAGTCATGACCCTCTTGTTCAGAAAAGTCAGGAAGTCTTAAAGAATGGAGGGAATGTATCAAATACAGAAGCCAGCTTGAAGGGACTCCCACAGGCCAAAGTTGGGACAATCTGAGCATCAAACTAAATCCTATATAATAAAAGCCTAATATGCAAATTGTCCCCTCGGGCAGTCATTCGACCATGAGTTCAAACAGGAGACCAGGAGTTCAACTGCTCACTATGACATGCACTGACCACCAAGGGCAGCACAGAACAAGGCGGGCATCAGCAACACTGTGCTGGCAGCAGGCGGCAGTGTAGGTGCTGCCGCCCAATGGGCCCTGATGAGAGCAGGACTGCAGCAAGATGGTGGAGCAGGTAAGCGGGTGGAGCCAGGCCAAGGCGGGTGTGAGCGGGGGCCTGATCGCCCTGCCAACTGCCCCACATATGGTAACCAGCAGCAGTGGTGGGGGCCTGGCCCCGATCAATCGCCCCACAGGCGGGATGGTGGAGTAGGTGAGGGGGTGGTGCCAGGCCAAGGCAGGGCTGCAGGGCTGGGAGGCTGGGGGCACGAGCTGGAGCTGAGAGTCTGGGGGTGTGAGCTGGGGCCCAATCCAGGCAGGCCACTCTGAGGAACCCAACCTGTGCATGAATTCATGCACTGGGCCTCTAGTAATGAATAAAATAGGAGGAATCTCTGAGTCTATATAATCCTATATAATAAAGAGCTAATATGCAAATGGTTGTCATGCCCTTGTGCCCTTGCACCCTCATGCCCTCGTGCCCTCATGCCAGGGCCGGGGCACATGAGGCTGGGCCAGGGGACCTGAGGCTGCACCCCCTGCCTTGCGGGGCCTGACGGGGGTGGGGCTGGCTGGGTCTGAGTCTTGCATGATTTTGAGGTGCATGCAGGTGGGCGGAGACTTGACTCTGGGTCCCACAGCGCACCCCAGACTCTGACAGGAGGGAGATTTTCATATACATTTTACTAATTTTCTTTCATCTCTGACACTTCTATTGTAAAGAAAGGGCAAATAGCAATATTAAAATATTTCCTCTAATTAATTCCCTTTTAATGTGCACAAATTTTGTGCACTGGGCCACTAGTATAATATGAATAAATAAATCTATCTATATAAAAACCTAAGCAACTATCGACCAGTCGCTATGACACACACTGGCCACTAGGGGGCAAACATTCAATGCAGGAACTGCCCCTGGTGGTCAGTGCGTTCCCACAGCCAACCTCCTGCAGCTGGCCAACCTCCCCCAGTCCCTCCCCCCGGCCAGCAGGCCCCAATTGGCCTTGATCCAGACTGGGCAAGATGGCCCAAATGGGCCTCAATCACTGGCCAGGCCGAGGGACCTCACCCATGCACGATTTCATGTACCAGGCCTCTAGTGAACAAATAAATGTGAAGATGATAAAGGGGAGGTTTCCCATACAGAAGATACCAAGTAATAAATGTAGAGGTAATAATGTATTTGGCAACCATAGCAATAATTAAGCCAAGATACATCAGCGAGGATAGAACTAGTGGAGAAAATTTGATGGGGATCCAGATATTTCCATGGTCTCAAAGTATCTCTCCACAAAACGCATTTTCATTACAAAGAGGAAAAAAGTAACTCACAGGGGAGAAACCTGGCAGACATCATCTCAAGTCACCAAAGTTAACATCACCAGTGATGGAAGAAATTGAAATTGTGCCCTGCCTGACAGGATACACTAGGAAGAGCACAGCACCACTTCCGTGGTCTTCCTGCCAGAAATGTATAACCTGAATCTAATCACGAGGAAACATCAGATAAACTCAAAGTGAGGGGCATACTGTAAGACAACTGGCTCATCGGCCTCAAAAGTGTCCAGGTCACAAAACTCAAGACTGAGGCACGGTTACAGACGAAAGGAGAGTAAGAAGACAGGACCACCAACGGCGATAGATAGCACAGGATTCTGAACTGATGCTTTGGCTGTGAAGGGCATTAATGGGACAAACGGCAAAACTTGAATGGGGTCTGAGGGTTAGATGGCAGTCACATGTCAATGTTAATCTCCTGATTTTGATGACTGTAATGTGGTTGAGAGAGAATGTGTCCTTGTTTGTAGGGAATGCACATTAAAGTATGGGGGGGGGGACATCAATGGTTCCCCAAAAAGTTCTTTGTACTCTTTTTGCCACTTTTCCATAAGTTAAAAACGATTCAAGAGAAAATAAAGTCCAAAAGGTTTATTTCAGCTGTGGCCAAAGCTCTGACTCTTTATCTCACTGAAAACAAAGGCTGCTGCCAGTTTGGTCAGCCAAACCTGTTCGTCCAGACAGTCAGGGACAGACTGCCAGGTGTGGACTGGGCAAACAGCTCTGTCCAGGGGATCAGAGGCCAGGCCAGAGGGCTGGAGTGCAGGCTGAGGGCCATGGCTTCCACCTCAGCACTGAGCACTAAAGAAGCGTTGAAAGCTTGCGGCCCCTGGGGCCTGGGGCAGGAGGAAAAGCAACCCAGGACTCTTCCCACACCCCAGGAGCCCCAAGAGAACCAGGAGAGGGCTGCCCTGGGAAGCCAGGGTCCCAGGGGCGGGTCCCTGAGGGCTTATGAGGTTTGGTTTCCCTCCCTCCCGGCCAAGCTGCTGCTTCATTTTCTGCACATTTTAACAGGTTTCATGTTTTCCCTGAGAGAGTCCTGCAAATTTCAAGCATGAAAAGGAATCAATGTTTGTTGACACCTATGTCCTCTGTGCACCTGTGAGCTGCTACAAGGCAAGAGCCATGCAGCGAACCTCGTGTCACTGTCTCACCCACTCCTCCCAGTGCCTAATAAGGGCTGTCGCAGCAGGCGACTTCTGTGTGTGTCTGACTTTTCTGCATGTCTGGGCAGCAAAGATAAGCCCCCATCACCACACCATTTCCCTCCACTTTCCTACCTGCAAAGGCCCACTGCGGCACCTCATCCTAAATCACGTCGCCCATATGAATATCCAGAATGGTGTGTTTAGTTATCTGTCCTAAGAAGCCAATAAGTTCCTGGCTTCTGAGAAGACAAGGCTCCTAGAAATAAGAAGTCAGGCTCTGGAGATACGTGTGCTGTGGCTAAAATTTTGACCATTGCAAGGCACAGAGACCCTCATCCCCACTCTGGCCCACCCCAGGCATGAGTGCTGTCCATTGTGCTGAACAGTCACAATTTACAGCAATGGGAAAGGACAGACCCCTGCCCAGAGTCAGGGTGTGGGAGAGTTCAGAGTAAGCACTTCCATGTCTCAGATGTTCACCACAGCCTGGAAAAGCTCATCTGAGTCTTCACTGGCGACCGCTGGGATCTCGATGAATGAGAGGTTCTCAGGACCCAGACGGGTACCTGGGCCTGGCAAGCTGGCTTCGGGAGCTCTAATGAAGAAGGAGTCCCCAAGTTGGGCCCGGGCCCAGGGCTAGAGGTCCTGCCCCAGCAGCAGCAGCAGCAGCAGCAAGGCCTTCTAGGTCATCCCTGGGCCCA